CTTTTAGGTATACAAAACAACATGAAGGGAACTATTACCTTATTTATGACACGATCTGTCGCGATAATTTCTCTATTTAAGTGAATTTTATATTGGAAATATCAATGGGTTCATGTGGCATAGGATAGGGACACATGGTAGGATGATGTAAACATGGCAATGAAGCTTCCATAATTAGTAGGGAGGGAATTCTTTGACAAGCTGAGCTTCTTAAGGACTCTGCTGCATGAGTTACAGCACTGTAGCATTAAAGAATCATAACCATGAAACTGATATGAAATGTATCTGAAACTAAACTGACAAGAGATCTGAGGTTTCAAGACAGATATCAATGCTGTTCTTCTCTCCATCCTCAGGGTATGACATGTTTTGTAAATTTACAAATACATACTAGATTACAAAATTTACAACAAAGTATTCATATAATTGAAACCAGATAATCATACAATGCATAAGGTTTGTTACAAACCAACAAGGTTATTACAGAACTGTAAATAACACAAGCTTTATGGCCATAAAATAAATACCTGGAATGAATAACACAACGTACTGCCACATGTTGCAATTAACTGAATAGTAAGACAGCAATATTTTTCCACTTATTACTTTTTAAATAAGGTTCACTGCCATTCGGAATATAGATAAATTAACAAATAACTAAATCAGCATCTTTCATTATCATGTGATCTGTAACTTAGTAACTCAGAAATTAAAAAGTTTTTCTCAGCTTTTTCAGAAAAACAAAATGTAATCAATGAGAGACATAGGGCTAATGAATAGCTATTTCTGAAACTTCAAACAATAAAAAATACTGAACTCAAGTCATGGAATGTCATCCAAAACCTATGTCCTGTTCAGTCCCCACATCTGGTGAAACCATCTCATCCCACATGACCTCTACCATCTCAACAGTGCCATCTTCTGACACAGTCAGCACCTGCTTGGTAATGCTTCCTGAGTCTTCTATCTCTTCCTCTGTCTTGCCCACTTCCACAACTTGCACATATACTGCACTGCCTTCTTCTTCCAACTTTTGCACTGTTAACAATGTGGGTTGTTCTGCAGAACTATCCTCTGACATATCCATAACACATATCGCAGTTGGTGTGGATCCGTCGACATCATTCAACTGCACTTCCACATTCCCCTCTTCATGATGAGGAGATGTGTTAGAGACCTCGATAGTTACATCATCTGCTTTTGTTAGTTCTGTGGACTTGCTGTTTTGCTGACTCTGATCAATAATGATTGCTGTTGTGCCCGGTTCCACTGCAGGTAACATACTCACATCTGCAACACTGTTCTTGCCAGGTTCTGCCTCTGTGGCCTGTACTGTCGAAATAACAACATCTGGACTGTTAGTGTCCCTGAACTCGTTTATTTCTGCAGTGATCATCTCCACAGTTTCAGATTCAGCAGTGTCAGAACCCTCACAATGCATGACTTCATTGCTATCTTTAGTCAAGTATTTCTTAAACTGCTTTGGAGTTTGTTTGGTTTGCTTCCCTTCTGCATTGCTACCTTTCACACTGCACTGTCTTGTGCAGCTGCCTCCTGACTGCACCTCATCTCCGCAGTAGTCACATGTAACATTCTTTTTCTTTATATGCTGGCGTATATGATGAATCATGAACGCATTATAGTGTGTCGTGTACTTACACTTGTCACACTGCATCCACACATTAGACTTGGGGTCAGTCTTCTGAGTCTTGCTATTTGAGCTTGGCAGACTGTTCTCCTGTTCATTTTTCAAGTCAGAAAGTGCAGCCTTTCTCTTTCGAGACTGAAAACAAAGTAAAGCAGCCATGAATGCTTAAGTCCATTAATGAATTAAGTTTCTTGGCTTATTTAACACTTTATCACTTGCATAATTTATTTTGCATCAATGGGTTTCGAATGAAGTTGTTACGGTCACTTTTAAGATACTGTCTTGGCATGTTTCTAAAGGGACTGAGGAAACACAAGAAAAAACTGAGCTGGAACAAGATCCTAAACTGAGACAAGTAGGACATTTATGAATATGAAGCAGGGAAGCTATGAACTAAACTGCCCAGATGCTTGTTATGTCTTCTAGATACACAAAGTAATGTAATAAGTGGACTGATATTACCATGAAATTTTCCACACTTGCATTTGGCCTGGACTTCGAACCTGTAAGACAGAATGTGAACACAATCATTACAACATGCATGTATGTGTGTGTATAGTTTTATAACACTTTACTTCTACATGTCAGTTTGAGCAAGTTCGTTTTCTGGAAACTGTACATGAATTCCCATTTATATTCCTCAATTTAGTGGAACATTTCAGCCACGTAAGGTTTCCTTCTGTGTTGGTGTCAAATCTTTACCAAAATTATATTTATACGCAAGTATTAGTAAATGGGACATTTATTTCAGAATTTATATTTGTGGTTAATTTATGGACACCGTCAGCATCACAGACAATACAGCATTATATGACAGTATGGTTAATGAATAATGAGGTGGAAGAGAATGGAAGCAAGAAGTCACAGCCTCAATCAATGTATATTCCTGGAGGGACTGCAGAATAACACAGAACATGTCAGCACAGCTGGCCTCTGGGCTGTGATTTGAACCCAGGACCTCTTGAATAGGAAGCCAGGGTGTTAACAATTTATCTAGAGGAAGAAAATAAAGAATGAAGCTCTGTGAATTCTGTCATAAGTCAACTGACCTTGAACAAGTGACGTGTTGTGTGATGTTATTTGTGGAGGTGGACAGAAACCTGTCATCTTATTATTCAACAATTCTCCTTCTTCCAAGGCATACTTTTTCTCTAGGAAGCGTAGGACTACATTCCGTACTGAACCCATTTCTGTCTCCAGCCGATCCAGTGTATTCATAAGATTGGCACATCCACGGCAAATTATATCATCTTCTGATATAACAACCATGTACCTGTCATGCAAGAGTAGAGAATTATAATATATAATGAGACTGATTAAACTTAGGACACATAAGAAATTGTACATTTTCACAACCTGAGAATGAAATAAAATCACCACATCTTCAGACAATATTTACAAAGAAAATAAATACCATGAACCATGAGAATCAACACCTACATTACTTCCCTTAATCTCTGTAATGTGAAAAGCAGACAGGCAGTACATAAAAATCTACTCTGTTTTTCTTCTGGCTTTCGGACTCAGAAGTATTTAAACCTTTGTGTTCGTGTTCAGTAACCTGGCATGTCACCCACACAGTTACGGGTTTCCATTGGTTCTCTGAATAAACTAACTTTTTTGAACTTTGTAATGACAAAGTGATTTGTTTTCATGAAGTGCAGAACCAAACTATAAATATAATTTAAATAGTGTTTGATCTTTCGGTGAGAGTGACTGCTATCCAAATCTCAATTATATAATAAGTGTCAAGCCTGAACTGCGTAATCCACTGTAATGTTGGTTGTGACATCACAGCACAGAAAACCACAATCAAAATCCCTTTCTTTTAATTCCATAACTATATTGTTGAATGAATTCCTGTATATTGTTAATGCAAAAGCACTTTCCATGGCATAGGTGGCACAAAAGTTTTTTATATAGTGTCACGGTTCTTTACTCACTAAATTCTATACTGATTACCAAAATTCTTCCATAACCTATGGCTCAAAATGAATAATCTCCATAGAGCTTAAGACCTATGCTTAGATAGTAAAGAAGTTACTGTTTTAAGGAACCCACAGATTCATTACCATGTTTACAAAAGACTGCTAAGTTTGAGACCCTGTGTAACACTTCATAACATGCTAGCTGTTTAGTGAAATTACTAGCCAACCGAATTCAAAATGGCAGAAACGCCCTATGTTGGGACTGTAGCTGCATATTCTGTATACCTTATATAAACAATCGCAACAGCAACTTATACAATAGAGGCATGAGAATAAAATATGAAATACGGTATATCTTTAGTATACCTTTCTCCAACGAGCTGACCTAACTTTTCTATAAGCCGTATTTTGGTGCTTTGGGTACGACATGTAGCTAGTGTATAGTATCTTCCTGTAACAGCAATATCGCAGACAAAACATCGAAATTCCTCGCCGCTGACGACTGTCTCTGGTTTATCGGTCGCAGAAGTCATCCTGTCACAAACTCTCTACCTGTAAATTTTAGAACTTTTAGGTTAGTCACACACACAAACCCACATATCGGCCTTGATCTCTCTACGTAGTTCACTTCACTATAACGTACTCATCTGTGATAACATCGGTGCTGTTCATTCTATGACGTTTTCGAGTTCATATATTAATGCATTACATGCTATAATATATAGTTTCAACTACAAATGTAGTGATTAAATCAACGTCGGTCACGCACATACATAATATTTAAGTTTACATTTTTCACTTCATGGCCAACTTGAATAACACATATGTTTTGTTATACAGAACGAATAGCAAGCAAGATGGCGATCCGAGGCAAGAACAGACGAAAGCCGCACAAAGTTGGGTGCTTTCGTGAATTACATATATGGTAAAGTACGTATAGTGTACTGAACAAGGAAAACTGAAATATTGTGTGCATTTTATCGTTTACGTATTAGATGCTGCCTTTTCATGTCGATACTCAAATCCTGTATAAAGTTTGAACTAAATTTTTACTAGAGCCTATTCAACTTAAAAACCTGCTCCAAACATAAGAAAGCAGAGGGATGCAGTTGGTTAGTGGATATGACAAAATTAAGTGTTTCTGTAAAGATTATCATACTCTGGCGGAGTATCATGAACTTTCATAAATTAGTGTCGCAGAAACAAAAATGTATAGTTTCACGAATGGAAACTGAATCGTGGCACTTTTTAAATGTTTATATTGAGAAAGTAAGTCTAAAATACTGGGGAGGGAACTTAAACTGAGAATCTATAAAGTTCTGATAAGACCAGTAGTCACATATGGATGTGAAGCCTTGATATTAACTAGCTTTGATGAGCAACAACTTAGAATATTTGAACGCAAAATATTACGGAAAATCTATGGTCCAACACAGAATAGTGATGGCTCCTGAAGAATTAGAATGAATCATGAACTAGATTGTATCATACAGGGAGCAGATATTGTGAGGCTGATCAAAAGCAAAAGGTTAGCCTGGTTTGGCCACGTTGCAAGAATGGAAGGAAACGGTGATCGAGTGAAGGCTGATGGGAAGAAGGATGAGAGGGAGACCACGGAAACGATGGATAGACGACGTGGAGGAGGATGTGAGGACAATGGGGGTAAGGGGATGGAGAAGAATTGTGAATGATAGGACAGAATGGAAAAAAAATCATAGAACAAGCTAAGACCCACACAGGGTTATAACACTATAAGAAGAAGAAGATATTGAGAAAGTGATTTGATGACCAAGTCCTTGAGTTTTAAAAATGGGGTTCTGCTATTTGTAATTGGACATAATGATCTTTAAACAAGTTTTTGAGGTTTTCACGGTGGAGAATCTTCTGGGTTGTGCCATGTAGTCTGGTAGAAGTTTACCGACGTTTTGGAGGTCCTTGCTGTCTCACTGCGATGAGTGTTCACCCGGATGATGAAGGCAGCAAGGACCTCTGAAGCTTAAGTAAACTTCTACCAGACTACACAGCACAGCAACCAAGAAAAGAGCAATCATCTTTAAACAATTTCAAAACTCATTCTACTTGAGAAGAAATAACATTCGAATTGATGGGACTGTATGATGTTATTAACAGCTTTGGAATAAAGTGACAGGAAAGTTGTTGCAGAAAGTATAATATACATAACATTGTAATTGTGACAAACACTGGCAGGTTTATTGTTTTCTTAAATAAATTATACAACCATGATTATGATAAGAGTTTAAGATAGCTGGCTTTTCTTTTATCCAGCTTGAATTTTCACACATTGTCAAACAGTTGCTAGCAACTTTTCATTGAAGTATCATGGATTTGCATTCAGATTATTTTGTATCTTTAATGGAATGTAAAACAGTTTCTATCTTGTGGTAATTATATTTTGTATTATTAAAGTAACATAATCAGCATCTGCATGTTCCTATATTAGAATCTTCTTTTGGACATCATTAAAAGTGTATGTTTAAAATAAATGTTTCTACTGACAATTATATTCTACAAAATATGATATGTGGGTCGTTATGTGAAATGCGCAAGAACATCACAAATGTACAAAAATGAAGTACATGAGTAAGGCAGCAAAACTGTGTGTAAGTTCTGATGTGGCTTGCTATGCAACTTGCATAATTCTGTAGACCAGTACCACAAGATCACTACAGATGAATGCACCAAATGAACTGCCCCTGTGCATACAGCATTACATACAAATGCAGTGGGATCTAAGTAGGACAGACTGCACCTTTAGAAAAATAAGTTGTACATATATGAACTGATGAAACTGCTCAATATATGGTACATAACAAGCTTTTGTGAACATGGCAGTGCACCATTGGAGTATAAAACCTGGTTTTTTGATCCACTAAGTAACCTGCTCTGGGAAGACATGTACATAAAGGTAATTTTATTATCAGCGCAAAACAGTGATAAATAACCACCAAACCCAGCTTATGGTTGCTAAAAAATTTCAATGTTAGTAAATTCATAAATATAATACATGTGTCAGGGAAAGCACCATAACAGTTGCACAGGATAACTCTGACATTTTCACAGCCATATTCTTTCCTTGAGAAAATCATGTGAATAATGGTTAGTTCTCTTAAAATGTTTATATTAAATTTAGTGCCAAAGAAGGTGATTACACTACAATCTGTTGAAGCTTGAATATGATAATAACCCTAATCATCATTATTTAGTCATATGGAAGCTGTAAGAACATCTGAACTAGTGCTTCATCCTCTTGGTTGGTTCTTTCAACCTTTGTGTCTGCAATATCATCACATTTATCATGGATTTCCTGAAAATCTTGAGGAATGTGTAAGTCTGCACTGATTTGTGTATCATTTTTTTTATGTAATTGAAAAGATGACCATTGTTTTGAAAGTTCGGGATTTATATCTTTACGATATGCCATGCAATGAATGTGGGGTAACTTTTCATAGTAAACTCGTGAAAATCCCAACTGTGCCAATGTGATTCTCCAGTTTTTCATTATTGGAGCATTTGCTGATGAATGTTTTGAATCTGGGGTGATTATGAACAAAAGACCTTCTGGTTTCAACAGATCGTATGCTTTACAAACACACAAATATCTCTGTTTTGGACAGGGAAAATATTCCAGCAGCAAAGAAAAAACAACAATATCACACACAGCTGATGGAAGTTCTCTAATGGTCCTGCCATCCAGAATTATTGGTTGTTCAGGTTTAACAACAGCCAAGTTCAGAAAATCACACATATATACATCAGGTTCTGCTGGAGCAATATCAATAGGAATAACATATAAGAAAGGACATGCTCTGAAGGGATTGTAACAACTACCAACATCCAACAGGGTGAGGAATTCAGCTTCAGTTAATGTTTCTTTACTTGCTGTAACCCTGGCATATTTAGCAAATGCTCTTGTACACTTTTCTGTAGCATTTCCAAATTTTTGTATTTTATCCTTTTCTTTGGTCCTCCTTATCTCCTTTTCTCCTTCAAAAAAGTACAGGACACATTTTTCAATCACCCATTTTATTCGGCACTGAACACTTTTATTTCTGTCTGTTGCATTTTTCTCCCAGAACACAGAAGCCAATTTGTGCATTGAGATTGCATACTCTTGCAAAATGTCACTTTTGTTGCAGTGTTCTTTCCAAGCTTTGTCAGCCCCAACTCTATGAGCCTCATACCTCAGCATCTGATGCACTCTCTTCACAAAGGTGGAAAGTTTCTGATGCTCTTCATCAGCCATTATAACTGAAACAGAAGTATGTATGTGATGTTCAGTTTCTCTTGAAAATCTTCTGGATGCTGGGTGAGGTTTGCTGTGTGACAGGACTCAAGCCTGAGCAGCGTTCCAATGTTATGAGCAGTTAAATTTGGGTCAGGTAATACTGGAGAATCAGATTATACATTATCTCACCACATTGTCATGCCCGATGATCTACACCAATCATCTAGAACACATAACTATACATGTCCAGTGATAAATGACAAAAAGTGGACAATTACAGATGATTTGCTATTCCTATGCATTTTTTACTTGAAGTGCATGAGATGGATGCATAATGATCAGTCTGTTCACCAATCTGTACATTCATATCCATAACTACTCAGTTTCAATACACCTGTATTGTGGATGTACACAAAATGTTGTGATGCAAATATAACTATGGGTCACATCACTTCTGCTTTACATGAATCTCAAGTGAAATACTAAAAGATTTCCTAGAAATTGCCTGTTGTACAGAAAAGAATGGTGTATTACAGGCAATCTGAAGAAGAAATACTGGAAGGCATGAAAGATCATTTTTGAAAAAGACCATGCATGTATACAAATTTACAGCATTGTCTTGAGGATGCCCTACCCAAAGAAACTCTTCATGGGGACTGTGGGAACAGGCTCATGCTACCATCTACTCCAGTGTGAGAAAGACTGTAGCAGAAGTATGAAGTATGTCGGGTGGTTGAAAGGTGAAAACATCGTGGGACAAAGATGGTTCTCAAAACATTTGTGTTTTCACCTTTCAATCATAGTTGGTAGCCTGAGAAGAATTAATTACTATAGCAGAAGCAGATTGTAGAATTCTATGCCACCTATGTGGTGAAGTATTCTAATTGGATCCAAAGCCAACTATGAATTTTTGCATGCCATCTTTATTATTACTATATGTTTATATTTCGCATAAATATCTAATACTTGTTGCAAAAGGTTTATGCTCTGATATAACGTCTATTACTATGTAGTGTGTGAATACATTAAAAGCTGCATGTGGTCTTCGGAAAACATACTTGAAGAACCCCATATACCTTATTCCGTCCCTTGACGTTGATGTATTGTACAATGTTCTGCAGTGTAACTTAACGACAGAGTTCGCATGCCCTCACACGTGACTAAAACCACAGACAACCAGAAACGTCGGACAGTTATTCCGATTTTTATAAACCTGTAAAATCGCTTATTCCTTGATAAAAATATCCTTTCACACTGTGCACGTTCTTTCCACCGATTACAAAGTGTTGTAGATTACTGTGTTTTGTTAACTGTGGTGGGAAGACATAGGGTGTGTTCATGGGCATTTAATTTGACAAAGAGCATGACCCATTGTCGACATGCTATCCAGGGCGGACAACCCCGATTTCTATTAAACTTAATACTGAAGTATTTTACGAAAAAATATGGAACTGTGTCAGTATTCATTCAGAACGGTTTTAATTACGACTTTACATCAGCGCATAATTTTTTTGTGCTTATTTCAAACACTTGCGAAAAAAATTGCATAGCAGATTTCTTGTACAAAATGGGAAAATGTGTTTAAAGGTGAATTCTAGCTCCCTTCGTCAAACATTTAGAAATTGGTATAGTTGGAGGTAGCGTAAATACAAACGGCAATGACCTACATAAACATTGTGATTAAATGTGACGTCATGTAATGTTCAATTTTTGTTGTTGTTGTCCGCTGTTTGGCGATACCTCACTTTCGCCCACCACCTAAACGTTTTTTAAGTTGTTTGTACTATTAAAACAGTCGTACTTTGATAAAGGAAAATTGTGATGGAAATCTCTTCTATAGTGATCCGTAGTTCAACTTTACCAGAAAAGTGATGGAATATGAGAGTGAAAATGTTGCATTCTTTGATTCAAAAGTCTAAAGTCCTTTTTGGCGTGAAAAATGAAACCCCTGTTCTTGGAAATGAAACATGTTCTCAAGCTTTTGAAAACGCTGTGGAAGCCACAACCCAAAATTGTCAGTCTTCAGTACTTGACGAAGAACAGTTAAAAGGGAACGAAGAGTTTAGAGATACTATATATGGTAATGCTATTGATTAAGTAATGTATAGAAAAGTGCGAATAAAACTTGCTTTTTCCAGGTATTATTTTGAAGATTTATCGTTTAGTTACTATATTAACATCTCTGGGAGTTAATTTTCTGCATCACTGTGAAGTCACATTTCATGTAGCACGTTTAGTAAACAAATTTACGTCATACAACATTACTACTTGTAAATAAACATTCTTTGAATTTTTCAGACCATATTAGGAACATTCGGGACCCAGAGAAACCTGCTACATTAGAAGATCTCAATGTTGTTTATGAAGATGGTGTAATGGTTAGTGATGACATTTCTGTCTTGAATGCCATGGTCAGTAAAGTTTTTGCATAAAGAATTTGAGAAGCCAGTTTCTTGGAATGTTACATATCTGTATGGAATTTATTTGGAAAGGGTCTTTGCTTCAAAGTTGATTGTATAAAATTGTATAAAAATGTAATAGTGCAGTCAAGTATGAAGAGTACCATAACAGCATATAATGTCAGTTTCTGAATTTACCAAATTGGCTGTGGAGTATTCAGAATTGCTTGAGGAAATTCATTCTGAACATTATGCAAGTCTGTCTGTAAATAAAACTGACTTGCTGAGTATATTCTTTTTGTTTAGATAAAGCCTTCAACAGAAGATGATGTACGTGTTGTACGCATTGAGTTCAACCCCACGGTTCCACATTGTTCCTTGGCCACACTCATAGGCCTCTGCATACGAATAAAACTAGAGAGAAATCTTGTTGACAAATTTAAATTGGACATATTTATTAAGAAGGGTACTCATTCTACAGAAGAAGAGAGTAAGTAATAGCTTACAGCATTTGTGTAAGTACAGGTATTGCGCTGACTACAGGGAAAGACATGTATAGTGCACACTGATTATTCTGGTGTTTTTTATAATTGTAATTGTTGGGTCCTTACTAGGTATGTTATAAATGACAAAACTGGTGATATTACATCAATGCAAATTTTCCTGTAGGAGAGGATAACAAAGCTTGTCCAAGGCTGATTGATGTTGGAGACACATGGAAACATTGTGAGGTTTCTGTTAGAAAAAGGGAGGCATTTTTTTTTAGAATGTGAGACAAAATGCACTGGAGGAAGAATGAAATACAAATACTGCAGTTTGATTGGATGTAATCAACATGATGATTTTTTTTTGTCAAAGGATTGCCATGAATATGAAGCAAAACCAATGTAGAGATCAAAATCACTAGATTAACTGAACTAAGCCAAACAACACTTTACATACCATAACTGTAAAAAATTGTCCTGGTTTCTTTCTATTGCTATTTTGGCATTACTGAGTGCTACTTAGTTATTGTGGGCAGGTGACTTGATAGGTGGGGAGTAGCTAGAACCACTGCTAAGTGGGTGATGGATGATACTGTGCAGAAAATAAGATATCAGTTTTATTATAATAATGTGCAATTTTCCACCATAAGTTATCTAACTTGTATTTATCTTGCCATTCATACTCTAAGTTTACTTACTGTGGTGTTTTGATATTGGATACTTATGGACTGCAAGCAAAGCCAACTCCTTTCTTAATATCAGAAGTTAAGGTCTTTAATACTAACCATAACAATTAATAAATTTAAATTATGGAAACTAAAATTGTTTGTATGCTGTTTAATAATGCTTCATTCTTGAATGGGATTAGAGGATGTATTGTGCCTTAGGAAGCAGTAGTGGCTTGTTTCAAAGTCCTGCATGGAAAAACGGAGGAAAATGTCAGCCCAGTTAGAAAATATAAATAGCTTATATGTACAGGTGATTTATTATATG